TATTGAGGGGTGTTTCAGTTAGGATTTTGCCCACCATGCATGATTGCTGAACTTTTTTTGAGTTTGAGGGGTTCGTAAAGAGTGAATAACAAGGGATATTTGGTGGTTGATAATTTGTTTCATCCTCTCTCGATATATTGACTGTAAAGTAGAATCAGGGGCTTGGGTGGGTTAGAGTTAAAGGTTAAGAAAATCGATATAAAGAAGGGAAAAGAGGGACGAATAGAACTCGGTTGAAGGACTATTGGCTATTTAAAAGAAAAGATAAAAGGATTCTGCAGAGAAGGGATCAGAAGGTTTCTTGGTAGGGAAAGAGGGCTTGGGTTTAAGCTATGGAGACTACAAAAAACTAGTGGTATTGTTAAGGATACGGGTATGGGTTTCTAGAAATGGGGAAATGCAAAGGGTTATCCTATTGGACTAGGAAAAGGGAGTGTCATTGAATGGATAAACATGGAGTTTCTCCTAGTCAACCATGTGAAATAAACTGAGTAAATTGTTTTGAGGGCGAGCCAATAAAACGAGGTAACAGCATTCAAGGGAAGGAAGATTAAGATGGAAGGAAACACAAGGTTACCATGAATCAAGACTCCAACCGCTATTTCAAAAGCCTAGGACACTATATTCCTTCTTTAGGGCCAGAAATGGAAGATCAATCGCTTGGAAAAGCTGAAACGAATTCAGGAAGAAACCCTAGAGAGGGTGGGAAGTTGCCACTAAGGGGAAGGTATTCTGTAAATTTATAATAGTTAAAAAGTTGTACTAGAATGGTTAGCTCCCGTAAACATTGGTAGATGTCGCTCATGACATCTTGGGGTGGAGGTGGTGGTTGGTTTCCAACTGGTTGAGCTAGTCATCCACGTCCTCTCCTATTGTCCATTCTGCACATCGAACACAACGTAGTTTCCTTTACACAATACACACCAACTCACACTTAACTCATAAACACATAAATCCTACACGATTCAAGCCTAGACTTTCCTACGTCTTGTACCTTGTCTTCCAGACCTAATCTCTAAACTCTGATATCAAATCTGTACTACCCCAAAATTCACAATAGAGACATTAACTATCTACAGACCATCCAACCCTTGAGAGTATTCTAAGTAATCATTAAATAATAAAATCATCCATCTCAAATCAATCCTCGCAGGACCAAAACACTTTCAACAATTTGAAGGTAAAACATGTGTGTGGAGTTAAATCATGCATTTTTTCAAGAATTTAAGCATAACGTGCCTAAAAAAATTCACTCCCTTCATTGAAAACTCACATTTATTAATTTCTCATATAGCTTATGCTCCTGTAATATTTACAGCACTAACCTGATGTATTGTGCATGATCCTCTTGTGTCTTTGAGTAGATCAAAATATCGTCAGTGAAGACGATAACAAATTGATCCAAGTAAAGTATGAACACGAGATATATTATGTTCATAAAAGCTGTAGGACCGTTAGTCAACCCAAAATGCATCATTGTACACTCAAAGTGACCATACCTAGTGCAAAAGACAGTCTTGGGAATATTCTCCTCCTTTATTCTCAATTGATGCTAACCAGTGCGAATATCAATCTTAGATTAGTACTTGGAACCCATCAACTGTTCAAACAAGTCAACAATCTGAGTTAGAGGATATCTATTCTTTACTGTCACCCGATTCAACTTCATATAGTCTGTACATAACCTGAGCGTCGCATTATGTTTCTTCACAAAGAGGACTGGTGCTCCCAAAAGTGAAGTGTTGCACCCCCAACCTAGAGGTAATGATTTATCTACCTCAGTAGAGTGGACCCCACTCCCCTTCTATCCTAACCCTGTTATCCTGTGCATGTACATAATAATAATTCACATATAATCACTAACCAGGTGCAACAAACAAAAATAAAACTCATGCATACAAACATAGTATCTATCTAAACTATCCACCCTTGTTCATAACTTCAGCTTTCAAAATCCTAAATATATAAAGGTCTCATACATACATTATATGATACAAACAAGATCCAAACTTCGAAATCTCCCCTCATTTGTTTAGACTCAGCAATGGACATTCCTCTTCCACAGATCACCTGAAAATATAAACTATAACGGGGTGATCTCAACATGTTCAGTGAATGTACACATTCATATTGGAGTATACATCACACGTTAATTAGAACGGTATTATAATAAACATTATCTTAATATAGGAGACATACTTCACAAGTAGTCATCTCATGGTAAGTCAATCAAATTTATCTACCACATAAGTTATATCTGCCACACAAGCTATAAATCTACCTTTAAGGCCATGTAAAATATATCACGGTAAAATCACAAACCAATGATAAACACAATCATATACAAATAGTACATAAACATACCCTTTTCTATTTCAAACCACATGAAATAATACACTTACCTCAACCAAGTTAACAACCCAGTAATGCCTTGTTCAACCTGTAAGTGGAGCCAAAACAGATGGAATCGCCTGCGCACCTAGTACACATTATGCCAATGTATTTTTTCTTTAAAAAACATTCATGAAATAATTAAATGCATGACTATGCTTTCATGCTTGTTACTTCATATGATTTACGATAGATTAGAATGCATTAAAAATGAATCATTAAGGAAATGGATGACGTACTCTTTTGTCATATAGTGCAAACTAAATATGATTTTTTAAGTTACCAAATTTTCCTTCAATGTTTCAAACCATAACTACCAAAGATTTAGGGGTCGTTTGGTAACATTTTTGTCTTTGCGTCTTCAAAAAACCAAAAACAGAGACAACTTTTTGTCTCTGTTTTGTGGTAAACACTGAAACAAAAAACATGTTTGGTAGTCATTTTTGTCTATCAAATTATGAGAATAAAAACAGAAAACATGTTTGGTAACTACCTCAAGTTTTATCCTAAATATGCTTTAATACCTCATTTTTTGTTTTCAAACAAATCAATACTTTATTTCATGAAAAATGATTTACAACCATGAATTAAAGACCTTCAACAAAGCACCAATCTTGCATAGCCAAATTTCCAAAAAAAATTAGTCATGAAATTTGCGTCCCTATACACATGCCCAAGCTGATATTGCAAGAACACCTAAATGAGGAACCCAACTCGCCCAAAAGACCTTAACATGCACCTTACCACAATCAATCCCCAAATCAGACAACCTAAATAAAATACAAATAGACGTTATATTACATCAAAATACAAATCCAAACATTCCTTAAACCAAAACATCCATTAATTCATCAAAGAACATCTAAAGAAAGATAGTTATATTACATAAGTCAGTAATCACATTCATACATCATAGTGTCCAACATACAACCTCTAAGTTCAGACATTAATAAGTCATATCACTTAACTAAAATTCTAATAATTAATACAAATACCACAAACAATAATGCACAAATAAAAATCAAATTACATCCACAACAAGCAAGCATGAAAATAGTAATCGATTTCTTCTCTCTCCATCTTGACTGGGCTTGATTAATCACATGCTGTTCATTTGTAATTGTGTTATACTCATCAACTCATATGAAACAATTATCATGCTCACACCATCGTGGACAACAATAAAAAGCTCGTCCATTGTTTCATTTGGTCATTGCAACCAAAATATTCATGTTCCTGGATCCACACAAACATGGAGGGCCAATATGTGCCATTATAACACACCTAATTACATTAACATCAACAAGTAAAAATTAGTCATATAAACATTAAATTCAATATAATAATGCAAGTATCAACAAATTTTTGCCATCATAATAAATAATAACATTAGGACATGTATCAGTGGTGAGTTGATACCCACAATTGATTAGCAATTGTATCTCTGACATGAGCCACTTCACGCAGCTGACTCGGACTTATGTCTAATTCTATTGGGACATGTGAACTTGATACAGCAACAGTTCTTTCATTATCAACAAATTATCTTCTTTCCCAGTTGTCAAATAACTGATCTTGACGAGAATGCATTCTTATGAAGTTATGTATTGTACAACATGCTATGGGAATGTATTTCTGTGTGGTTAAGGGATATGGAGGCATTAGCATCATCAGACTAAATGATGGTTATGCTATTTGCCCTGCTGTGTGGATTAAATGTTGTTATACGTTTGTTATGATGTTGACACTGCTAGGAGGAGAGGACGCTTTGGTGTGAGGATTCTGTTCTAGTATTTGTTGCTGACTATGAGCTGGTGCATTTTTTGGGGTGGAGTTGCTAGATGCTCATTATTACAGCTCTTGAAGTGCAATAGTTTTACAGAGAATATGTTTTTTTGTTGTCTGGATTGCTTTTGCAACAAGATCAGTTTGGGCTACCTATCTGAGGTGCTTTAATTCTGATTTTCTGTTGGGATGGTTTCTGAGTATGGCTGCTGGGGATTTTTTACTGGATGGTTGTTCTGGTTTTCTGCTTTGATTCTGATTTGAGCTATGGGATTCATAATATAAGGATATGGATCTCTTTCAGCAATTGGAGGAATAACAGATCTATTTTGCAACTTTGTGCTACAACAGATGGATTTGCAGCTGAGAGGTGATTATAGTTACTGTGGCCACTTTGGTTTGAGCTCCACACAAAGATTTCATGGTGGTGAGACAAGAATGGGCTGCCGTTCGAATTCAGGCCATGATTATTAAGGAGAAAGTGAATGTGAAAACAAAGTTGTTTGCATCGTGTTGAAAACAGAACTAAGTATGCCAGATTTGCAATAATTCTGCAACAGCTTACTGTGAGGTAAGCATCTGCAGTGGTGAAAATCTCAAGTTATTAATCATCAAAATTCTTGGAAATTGTCTAGCCATGGATTAAGCAAGCTAAGGTAAAGAAAGATGTTCAATTGACATAAATGTTACATGGTTAATGTATTTATGATTGGAAATAATCAAACCAATGAAGCTCTTACCTGCTATTGATAGGATGCTTGGTGTGATAGTCGAGGATCAGTGAAAAAGAAGTGAGGGCAAAGCTACAAATAAAACAAGGAGCTATGAAGAAGGAGAGAGCAATTGCATACTCCCTCTCTCAACAGGTAATGAATTCGAAACTACTACAAAATGTTAAAAGTTTTCTTATTTTGATTCTAATTATCTTGCTTCCAGCATTTGAGGAGAAACGCAAGCCCAAATTCAAGAACAAACAAGGAGTTGGTCTCCAACAAGACAGATACAAAACACCTCAGGGTGGAGATGCCTAGATGGTTGGGTGGCCACCAAGCCTTGGGAAAGTAGATTGATGGAAGAATTCCATACTGACCCATCAAAATTCCATACTCCAAGTACTAAGAAATAAGGAGATTATACTGAATATGATTCAACAATAAAAGCTAAGAGTAACATTTCTACGGGGATATCATCTAAACCCCTCATAGCCTGTCAAATTACTCATTCATCTTCTGAACCATGCTCTGAATTTATGTTCGATGACAGCACCACATCAAACTCATCCACATCCACTTCTGAAACCCCAGGATCTATCAAGACTCCAATAGAGGGCCATTTTACTAAACCGAGCAACATGTATACTACAGAGTCCATCAAGGCTAAGCAAAAGAGCTTACAATTATTCACAACATGATATGCGGCGACAAAAATCTTTGTGTGGAGCTCGAACTAAAGTGGCCACAGCAAAGGATTTTTGAATCTAATGAATGGTTTGCAAAGAAAAGGACATCAAATTATCTAATTTTGCTTGGCATTAGCTTTCATATTCTGAATAAAATAACACCCATTGAAAAACAGAAGCAAAATCACTCAAACGAAAGATTTCCCCAACGTTCACAAAACAAATGCAAAACCACTCAAACAATTTAAACATATTTTCTAAGATAGCAAAAGCATAAAAAAAATACGATTAAAGCACAAAATCGTATAGATCTATGTAGATAAAAAATACAATAAAAAAAAAGGATTATGGTATGTAATGTACAGATCTATGCATATATATACAGATCTATGTATATATATACATATACGTATACAAATAAAGGGGTTACATTACCTTCTTCATCTTCGGCTGTGAGTCTTCTTTGTCTATCGATTGTGAGTCTTGCTTCGTCTTCATTGATCTGTGAGTGGAAGAGAGAGAGAGTTGCTGAGAGAGCTTCGGAGAAGAGAGACGTACTGAGAAAGAGTCGTTGCTTACCTTAACAGAAGAGAGAGAGAGTGGCTGAGACAAAAGAGAGTTGCAAAAGGAATGATCTGTGCGAAGAGCAAGAGAGGCTGAGACAAAAAGATCCCATATTTATACTCTTTTATATTAAGTGGGATTTTGTGGCTAACAAAACTCGAACTTGAGATCTCATTTAAATAAAAAACGCGTGCTTTCTGTTTCGTGCGTTTACTGGAACAAAATTTTTTTGTCTTTGTCCCCAATAAAACGAAAACAAAACAAAATCAAAAACAGTAAACAAACATATATTTGTTTTCATTTTTGACAAAATTTGAAAACAAAAACACAAAACTCAAGACAAAAACAGTTACCAAACATAACCTTAGTTACTATATTCATGCATTTTGTATTGCGTAAGTTTTGAATTTCAATTTCACTCCTTCACTTTCTAAGTGACGACTCCAAATTACTTAATTTTGGTTCTAGATCTAAGAAGGACTATCTTGTTTTTGCATATGTTGTTTCAATTTCAAAAATTTCGGAGATCTATATTTCAAACAAAATTAAAGTAGTAGAATTTTTTAGAAAATTAGACTCGAATTTCAATGTTTTGTGCTCAATTTTTTAGTTTTAAAATTTTCAAATAATCATATTTCATATCAAATCAAAATATTTAAATATTTCAGAGATTCAGACATACATTTATATATTCTTGGGTCGTAGTTAATTTAATTCATTTTTTCATTTCAATTGATATATATATATATATATATATATATATATAGATATATTCGATCGTTATCACTTAGAGTTTTTTGCATTCAATAGTATTTCGAATGATCTCTAAAAAAAAAAATTAAGTCAATAGCCCTTTAATAAAAAAAAAAAAACCATAGAATACGCCTTTGTCACGATCGAGGTTCAGAGTTTCTATTCCCGCATGGTAAGCAACTAATCCTTGGATACTAAATTCGATAGTCAACTTTCTCCATGAACTAAATTCGTTGGTCATACTGTTTCAGATTTCTATAGTACATAAATATCTTATAAATCGTATTTAGCATAATAATAATCGATTCATTTATTTGACAAGTTTAATAGTTTCATTGATTTATCATCCAAATTCGTTAAAATTAAACATAATTCTATTAATTTTATATTAAATTTATAAATTGTGTACAAAAATATCTAACCTTGGTCACATAGATTAGGGTAATTCTACAATACTCCCCAAAAAATTATGTATTGAATCGAAAGTTATTACGTTATAAATTCAAATTACACTTTTTAAAAATAAAGTTATAACTATTTGAAATAATTTATAATTGATCATAAAATTTTTGATCTATCATGAATATCCTCTAACCGGTTGCAACTTTGCTTTTAAAAGTTTTAATGTTTAAGATTGATTATAACATTTTAAGATCGAATATCTATATAACAAAACATCTAGTAGTTTGAAAGTTTATCTTCTATATATTTTATCTCCAAAAAATATTATATCATTAATTTTATATCATGTTCAATTATTTAATATTTGATTAATTTATAGTTTAACATAATTTTTTATTCCTTACATTGTTCATACATGATAATGTATACATGTTGAAAGAAAATTTGTTGGGTTATGTATTTTAAAAAAAATTTGACAGTATTTTTAAAAAATAATAGGTAAAATTTTTTTTTAAATGATATAATCAAAGAAATGAAAAAATAAAAAATTATTATTTTGTATAATGAGATTAACTTTTTAAACGCTTGAAACTTATATTTGATTGTGTCTTCAAATACGAGTTATGGTTAGTAAATTTATAATTTAATTTATATTTTAAAAAAGAATAAATTATTATTATTATAAAATTTATAAATTTTTGTACAGTGGCAACGAGCTGCCTTGATGTGATAGTGATGGGTTGTATATCTCAATCTCAGTATCAACTGCATGTTCTGGATACGTAACCCACTTCCAAAGGGTAGCAGCCGACGATAAAGTAATGTGATACAACTAGGCAGCATTAACAACAACAGCTACCAAATCTGCAAATCCTTAATGAGAGTATGAGCTGGTTGACCGCACAAGTTGTTTTTATAGCAATAATGATATGTGTACCGTTTTGTCTGCACAACCAAACATGATAGGATTTCAATCTTTAATGAATCATATTAAAGTGTGAAAAAATGTGATATAAAAAAATGGTGTTTGTAGCATTATTGTTTTTATAAGTCTTGCAATTAATTCTATTTTTATAATATCAAAAATTATTTTTTAATAAAAAATATAAAAATTAAATTTTTCTAGACTAATTATATATTTTTTAGGATAAGTTATAGTTTTTAGAGGCTTTTTGTTTCATGAAGAAAGGTAGATAAAAAAGTGGGATTGAAAAAAAATAATGTGAAGCCCCATAAAACCCATATTTGGATTGTTCATAAGTTTGAAGGATTAAATAATTGAGTTTTTTCCGGCCCAAAGTAAAACAGTAAAAATAGCTTCATGCATATGGGTTTAAACTTTAAAACAATGAAAATAGTCGTATTGCCACAGTGATTAGTTGTTAAGTTCGAGCAAATAGCCGGTGAAAAAAGGTCTGGGTTGTAAGAGGCATCCAAAACACAAAAAATAATCCTTTCTTAAGACGAAAAATACAAAACATACTCAATAAAGATGACATCAGCACTAATGAAGTACTCACCATGGGTGAGATTATAACAAGGTACCCCTCCCATGCTTCGTTGTGAATTAGATCTAAATGAAGAAAAATATCCTTGAATTGACCAAAAATTGAGCTCCACCAAGGATATTCAAGTCAAAATACAATGTCACTATTGCAATAAAAGATCTTTGATTTAGGGTAAATTCTATAACTGGTCCTTGAACATTGCCTTCAATTTTAATTTAATTCATAAAGTTTCATTTGTTTAAATTTTGTCCATCAAATATCAATTTCGTCTTTGTGAAGTTATTTTGTCAATTTTTACCGTTAGATCAATCAAAAATTAGTCTAATCTAATTCATTTTAGGGACCAACTATAAAATTTAACCTTTGATTTATATCACATTGTGGGACGTGTCTTTTTTCTATTACTATCCAATAATTTTCAAACATATGATAGAATAATATTTCTATCCAACCCTATCCCATTAACTTAATTGGATGGTTTTGGACTTAAGCCAATCTAATCTAAAAATAGTAAAAGTCACCAATCGACTAGATGTTTGGAATTGGTCTCAATATTTTAGGATCAATACTAACAATTACGTGCATCTCATAATATTATGAATCCCAAATACTCCAAAAGTTGATAGTTTTTTGAATATATATTTTTTTATTGTAACTTAGATCTTAAAAAATTATATTTTGAACTCAAAAAATAATAAATTTCAATACTGAAATTTAATTTCATGTGTTTTTAATGTGAAAAGTGTGTATGAAAAACAACTAAACTTTCAAACGTGTAGGATAAAAATGAAATGAGCTTGGGAAATGATGTAATTTGAGAGAAAAACTCATTGGGAATTTTATGGTACCGTCGATGGTACTGGTACCAAAAATTGTAATTTTTTAAGATTAAATTATAATTTTTTTGAGGTATAAATTAAAACTTTGAATGACATAATTAATCATGAAATTTTTGGATCGATACCTATTTTTTCATGATCGATCATGAGTGTCTATTATTGATCATTACCTTTCTTGAACAATTGTAACCGACGATACAAATACCAAAAAAAATTTTCGGTAACATAGAATTTCCCAAAACTCACGCATCTGATGGGCTTTTGTATGTACACATATCTGGTTCTACTCTTACATCGTTCAAAAGAAGATTATGATTGATCACAGACAAACATGATTGATTATAAAAATTTTGGTATTGATTCCAACTTTCTGTAATCGATCATACATTTTAAAACTATAATTTATACTTCAAAAAAATTATAATTTATACCTAAAAAAATTATAATTTTGAATATAATACGGTCGACGGTACAATAGCCTTTCTCAATAAAATAAAATTAACGACAACCCTCATTAATTGTACATTAGAAGGCCATTTTGCCTCGGTCTTGAGAATTGAGTACCAGACAACATGCTTTTATTTACTCGGTCAACTGCCT